TGGTGGGGGTGGGGGGGGCGCCCCAACCACCACCAATCAATCAATCAATCAATCAATCAATCAATCAATCAATCAAAAAAACTGGAAAAAAAAATCTCTGTGTTTTGAGTCCGCTTCTGTTTTTTATTTTTGAAAAATAATTTAGATGCTCAAAAAAAATTTTAAAAAAATATGGGGGTGTAGAGAGCAAAACAATCTACACCCCAATATTTTTATTTTTATTTTTTTTATCGTTTTTTTGCGGCCGAAACAAATTTTCGCGGGCCGAGTTGTACCTCGGTCTAACAGGGTACAACGGGGAGTTGCAACGGGGGTTTAACGGGAGTTGATCCGTTCAACTCAAAACCCCCGTTGAATCAACTTTCGGACACATAGCGGGGCTTTCCTATGCCGTAGTGCCGGGTTGTGGATTGTTGCCTTCACCCTCGCTCACTGTCTTGCGATGATTTGCGCCTGATAACCGACGACGGTCCGGTTGGCGGTCGTTTGCAGGGTGTGGAGGCGGAGGTGCCCGTCACCGGCTCTCAGCTTCGGCACCATCATCCCGTAGGTTACGGGGAGAGCTGTTGCTGCTGTGTTGTGGTGTCGTCTTCGTGTCCGCACTCACAACGGCGCGTTCCGTTTGTGTTGAGGGGGTGTCACGACTTGGTGAGGACGCTCTGCGGTCTTCGCCATCCGAGCGGCGCCATTGAGCGGTGGCGCAGGTGGCCGAGGCCATGCACGCGCTGCTTACCGTATGCGAGGGCGGAGACTTGTGGGATCCGTGATGCACCCTCCGACAGCATCGCGAGGTTGGGCCTGTCATCCGCACGACTTTTTGGAATGCGCCCTTGTGTTCGTCGTGTCCCCCATCCTGTGGTCTCGGTATKCTGCACACCGTGACGGATCGCATTGCGTTGTCGTTCCGCTGCGTTTACGTTGTGGGCTTCGAAGGCTACTGTCCTCTATCTCCTGGGTTTCGCCTGCATCGAGTGCTGTTGGTGGTGCCGGCGGCAACCAGCGGATGTGGATCCAGGGGGGAGAGGGGTTGTGTTCCTTTTGCGCCCCCGTGCACAGGTGGAGGCTTTCCGTCCGTCCGGGCGTGTTGGAAGCGTGGTGCATTTGTTTCTCTCTTCATCCGCGTTTCTCGATGGAGAGATGAGGCTGTGCACTTCGACGTCGGTACGTTTGGGGCGGGCGGTGTCATCCGCCTGTGGGCCGAAGCTGTCGGTGGTTCCTTCGCGCGCGCCGTTGTTCGGGTAGTGTGGTGAACTTGCGATCTCTGGGTGTGGTGTGGGCGGGTGCTGTTCGCAGCCAATCTCTTGGGCGGGTGCGGTGGGCTGTGTTGAATTGTGCGGTACCTTGCCGTTAGAGATGGCCTATGGAGGGAAGTTCACCTGCAATTCAAACAGCCGGACTTCGCTGCGTCTCCGCAGCTCATTGCACGTTCCACAATTGTTCGACGTTGTTTTGGTAGGCTGTCCGGCGTGACGTGCTAACGTGCGCCTCGGCCATCGCTCCTTGCGGCTGCTCGTCACACCCGCTACCTGGTTGATCCTGCCAGTAGTCATATGGTTGTCTCAAAGACTAAGCCATGCACGTCTAAGTGTGAATACTAAATCAGTTATCATTTATTTGGTGGTCTMCTTACCACTCGGATAACCGTGGTAATTCTAGAGCTAATACGTGCAGCATATCCCGACTTCTGGAAGGGATGTATTTATTGGATAAAAGGCCGATCCGGGCTTGCCCGTTGTTGCGGCGAATCGTGGTGACTTGTCGAATGGCATGGCCTTCGAGCCGGCGATGTTCCATTCAAATTTCTGCCCTATCAACTTTCGATGGTAGGATAGAGGCCTACCATGGTGGTAACTGGTGACGGAGAATTAGGGTTCGATTCCGGAAAGGGAGCCTGAGAGATGGCTACCACATCCAAGGAAGGGAGCAGGCGCGTAAATTACCCAATCCTGACATAGGGAGGTAGTGACAATAMATAACAATACTGGGCTCTTTCGAGTCCGGTAATTGTAATGAGAACAGTCGTAAACTCCTTGAAAGAGGATCCATTGGAGGGCAAGTCTGGTGCCAGCAGCCGCGGTAATTCCAGCTCCAATAGCGTATATTTAAGTTGTTGCAGTTAAAAAGCTCGTAGTTGGATTTTGGGTGGGAGGGGTTGGTCCGCTCTTGCGGGCGTCTACTGGCCCTTTCGACTTTTTGCCGGGTAAGTGTTCCTTCAACTTCCTTGCCTTTATTGGCTGGGATCCAGAGTCGGCGCTATTACTTTGAAAAAAATAGAGTGTTCAAAGCAGGCCTGTGCTCTGGACATATTAGCATGGAATAACGCGATAAGAATCTGGTCCTAACAAGGTTGTGAGAAGCTTATTGAACCTTATCATTTAGAGGAAGGAGAAGTCGTAACAAGGTTTCCGTAGGTGAACCTGCGGAAGGATCATTGACACGTGAATGGCCGATCTTCGGGGTGTGGGACGCTGGCTTGCTCGCCCTTCCGCCGCCCTTTGCCCCCATCCTCCCTGCATCCGCTTTTCTCTTCCTTTTCAGCACCAGCTTGGGCTTAGTGCCCAACTGGCGGCTGGCCCGGCGCAGAGGGACGCGTGGTGTAGGTCGAGGGTGGGGGGAGTGGGCAGGGTCTGGGGCCTTGTGGCGTTGCTCCCCCTTCACCCCATCTCGCCTCCGCAGGCTGTTACCTCGGCCCAGCCCCACTCTCGACTTCTGGTCGGGATGGCGGTTGGTCCGGGCACGGACAGCCCTGCGAGACGGTCAGGGAGGGGATGTCGGGTGGTGGTGGTTGTCCTCGGCGTGCGTACCCCCGCTCCTTCCCATCTCAGCTTTGTCCAGACCTCCGTTCCATCCCGGCCTCAACCTCGGCTTCGTGCGGAGCTTGTGGCTTGTTTGGGGATCGAGGGTCGTGGTAGAGGCTAGGGGCGGGGTGTGTTGCGCGGTCCTCGACCCCTCCCTGTTTCGTCCTGCCTTCCTTCCCAACGGGGTTCTCCTTTCCGGACAGATCGTCGTCCTCGACACAGTCGAGGTGGTCGAAATCTCGGAGTGGAGGGCTGTTGGGGGAGGGTTTTGGTCGTGAACGGGGTGGTGTCGGGTGGGGGCGGGAAGGAGACAGCGCTTGCACCCTCGTTGCCCCGCTGCTCCCCGGTGCCCTGCCTGGCCCCCTGAACGGGGGTCAAGCGGGCCCATGGCATCGGCAAGTGGCCACGACTTTGCAACTTCTTCTTGATGTACTTGCTCTGATTTGTCGCTGTCCAGGTTGACGGCCCCCTTCTGTTCTGGTCAAGGGGTCGGTCCTGTCGGAACGGCACCATATTGTAGAACTCTCGGCAAACCAATATCTTGGCCCTCGCAATGATGAAGAGCGCAGCGAAATGCGATACTGAATGTGAATTGSAGAAATCCGTGAGCCATCGATACCTTGAACGCACGTGGCGCCCAAGGCTTCTGCCGAGGGCACGCTCACCTGAGCATCATTGGATTCCTCACGACCTCAGCACCTTCCGTTTCGGAGAGTGGTGGGGTCCGTGGTCGTGGCTTCCCTCGCTTCCCACTTGGAGAGCGTCGATAGCCTAAAGTGGAAGGKAATTGGAGAGCATTCCGAGCAGGCCTCTGGGGGCCGCAGCCCAGAAATGTGCGTTTCGCTCCGCCCTGTTGTTGCCCTCCAGCCCCCGTTTGTGGGTGGTGGTCTTCGTTTCCCTGAAAACGGCACCTAAGGTCGTCCCTTCGGTTTGTGCGGTCGCCGCCTTCCATTCGCTCCCATCAGCTTSAGGTGGGCTTGCGGTTGGGGGTGTCGGCCTCGAGCTGTGGAGGTACGTCGGGCCTTGCCTTTTGATCTCAGGTCGGGCGGGAGCACCYGCCCARTTTAAGCATATAACTAAGCGGAGGAAGAGAAACCAACGAGGATTCCCCCKGTAGCAGCGAGCGAACCGGGAATAGCCCAGACTGAAAATCCGGGGGCTGTGCTGCTCCCTGAATTGTAGTCTTGAGAGGCAACCTCTACAGCCGGCCGTGTGCAGGTTCCCTGGAAGGGGACCCCGAAGAAGGTGACAGCCCCGTCGACCGCTGGACCCTGCTGCGCAACGAGGTGTTGTCCAAGAGTCTGGTTGCTTGGGAATGCAGCCCCAATTGGGTGGTAAGTCCCATTCAAGGCTAAATATGTGCGAAGGACCGATAGCGAAGAAGTACGGCGAGGGAAGGATGAAAAGAACTTTGAAAAGAGAGTTAAAGAGTGCTTGAAATTGCCGAGCGAGAAGCGGATGGAGGGGAAGTCGTGCGCTCCTCTCTGGGCAGGGGTGGACGGCGATCGTGCTGTCGCCCCCCTTGTTGGACGTGGGGTGCCTGCCAGCATGGGCTGCTGTGACCGGCATTGCGGTGGGGAGCGATTGAAACCCCCCACGGGTGGCCGTCACGGCCGTCGACGACCTTGAGCACACGCCTCTTTCGGCGGGCCCGTTTGGGTTCCTGCGTGTTCGGGATGCTAGCGAAATTCCTCTATCCTGCCCATCTTGAAACACGGACTGAGGAGTTCAACGTGCATGCRAGCCGGTGGGTGATTAGCCCACGAGGCGGAAGAAACCTGATTGGCGGGAGCCCTCTGCGGGTGCACCGTCCGTTAACCATGATCTGCTGTGAGAGGTTTGAGTGTGAGCATGCCCGTTGGGACCCGAAAGATGGTGAACTATGCCTGAGCAGGGCGAGGACAAAGGAAACTCTGGTGGAGGCTCGCAGCGATACTGACGTGCAAATCGTTCGTCGGACTTGGGGATAGGGGCGAAAGACTAATCGAACCGTCTAGTAGCTGRTTCCCTCCGAAGTTTCCCTCAGGATAGCTAGAGCTGTTGATCAGTTTTATCGGGTAAAGCGAATGATTAGAGGCCTCGGGGGTGAAACACCCTCGACCTATTCTCAAACTTTAAATAGGTAAGATTTCGGGGTTSCTTAAGCGAACCCCGAGGATCAATGAAAGCTCCAAGTGGGCCATTTTTGGTAAGCAGAACTGGCGATGCGGGATGAACCGAAAGTCGAGCTACGGTGCCAAACTGCGCGCTAACCCAGACACCACAAAGGGAGTTGATTGATACAGACAGCAGGATGGTGGTCATGGAAGTCGAAATCCGCTAAGGAGTGTGTAACAACTCACCTGCCGAATCAATCAGCCCCGAAAATGGATGGCGCTGAAGCGCGCGACCTATGCTCGGGCGTCACGGCGATTCTGACGCCGCGACGAGTAGGAGGGCGCGGGGCCTGCTGCGAAGCCTGGAGCGTGARCCTAGGTGAAGCGGGTCCCGGTGCAGATCTTGGTGGTAGTAGCAAATATGCAAATGAGAACTTTGAAGACCGAAGTGGAGAAGGGTTCCATGTGAACAGCGCTTGGACATGGGTCAGTCGGCCCTAAGAGATGTGGAAACCTTGTATCAAGGGCGCATTGCGCGCCGCACATTAAAAGGGGGTCGGGTTAATATTCCCGAACCGGGTTGTGGAGGTGGACGGTAATGTAAGCGCTCCGGAGACGCCAGCGGGGGCCGTGGGAAGGGTTCTCTCTCCTTCTTGCTGCTCGCCCACCCTGGAATCGGATCAACCGGAGATAGGGTGCAGCGCCCGGCAAAGCACCGCGCGTCCTGTGGTGTCCAGCGTGCCCCCGACGACCCTTGAAAATTTAGAGCTGCGGGTACCTCTCACGCCCGACCGTACTCATAACCGCATCAGGTCTACTAGGTGAGCAGCCTCTGGTCAAAGGAAGAATGTAGGTAAGGGAAGTCGGCAATATGGAACCGTAACCTTGGAAAAAGGAATGGCTCTGAGGGCTGGGCCTAGGGGTCTGCGCCTCGATGTCGTTGGTTGCCGGTGGTCTGCCCGAGCTGCTCTCGYGGCGAGGGCGGAGCCCGCGTGCCAGTGTGCCGACGGGCGTAGAATGTCTTATGTCCCCACCTTTCGGGTGGGGCCTTGGGACTCTCCCTAAGCATCAAACTGGCGACTCCGAACTTGAGCGGACAAGGGGAATCCGACTGTTTAATTAAAACAAAGCATTGCGATGGTCCCAACRGATGTTGACGCAATGTGATTTCTGCCCAGTGCTCTGAATGTCAAAGTGAAGAGATTCAACCAAGCGCGGGTAAACGGCGGGAGTAACTATGACTCTCTTAAGGTAGCCAAATGCCTCGTCATCTTATTAGTGATGCGCATGAATGGATTAACGAGATTCCCACWGTCCCTATCTACCATCCTGCGAAACCACAGCCAAGGGAACGG